TTCATACTGCGCTCTCTCACAAAACGCAAGACGACTTGAGTTGATAAGCCAAATACCAAGTACAAAAAAAGTTGTATACGTATATTAATGCACGTTTGAAAAATTAAAAAAAAATAGTTTGGTTTTTGAACATTATCCTTCTTCCTGACCCCCAGCACGTATGAACGTATGCGCTTCAATCAAGGCGCGAACAAAAAGCCAAAGAATAAAATAATCATAGCCTTAACACTAACATGTATTAAACTAACCTCGTTTGGGCTACCCTGTTATAGTACTCGTTTTTACAGTTTTTGGTAGAAGTAGGTTTTGTTATCACAGTAACTGTGATGAAATCGTAGACCTTCTCAAACTTGTGATTGTAGCCACCTAATTAATTTGCCGTAATCTTTCTGATGACTTAGTCATGATTCTTATAATCAAAAGAAAACCACTGTCAACTAAAACACAATCTGAGATTCGAATCAAGTAAGCAGCTACCTTGAGATATTCTTGAAACAATTTCACAAACGGTGCTAAACTCCATTAAGAAAGATTAACAACATGAAAGTCAGGAACATTTAATAGTTTAAATGTACATAATTTAATTATTAATAGGCACGGGCGAGAAACATTTCAAGTGTAAAAACAATTATTTACAATCAAAACAACAAACGCGTTACTAAAAGGATTTGTCCCTTTTTAGATATTCAACGCAAATAACTAAAGTCTTTGTTTAACGTAAGTTTGCACCATTAAATGCTCAGCTCAACTATGATAAATAGCTTTGACACGATTTCAAACACCAAAATAATGTCAGCTAATGATAAAGTAAATTTCTTCAATCTATTTGTTTTTATTTGGACATTTATTTATCTTTCAATCGATAAACACGCTTATCAGGAAAAGTCAAAAACCGATTTGTCGAACGTCCTTGAATACCAACAAGCAGAAATATATATGCATTAGTTAAATATGAATATGTATTGAAATGTGATCAAATTGTGACCAAAATTGTGTTTATGAATAGCAAGTTGAATATAAACAATGGACTGCTAATAGACAATCTTAATAAGCGTCTAATAGCGTGGAAAATCGATTCAGCATTTAAATCACATTTAATGAGCTTTAGTCACGCTTTGACAAACAAACAACAACAAAAGTGGCCTGCCAACAACAAATAGCAAACCAAAAAACTATAAATAAATCAAAAAGCTGAGAATGTATAGTACAAAGTGTTCAAATACCATGATATATCGAATATCTATCCAGAGCGTAAGAGTCGAAAAGCTGAATTTATAGAAATGAATTTCAGATGTGATTCACGCTTTTCGAGCAATCCACCACTACATGGTGGAAAATGGCACTTAAAATGTACACTAACCAACCTGGGTAAAAACAAGGCTGAAAGGTTGCAAGTTTCTATCAAACGGTTATCAAAGACCTTCATTCAAGATTTACTAAATGAATTCCAGCCGCAAATACGGAAAATTGATGGAAAACTTTTGTGTGATATATTTTTAGTTTGGTAACTCAAAATTCGTTGGTTCCAATTAAACAAAACGAATATGCCCGTTTCACTATAACTATGGGGAAGAGGATGACAAAAATAGACAATTCGACAATTGCAGAACCGGCTATGATTGCAGCTGTTGCATCGCGTGCCAACAATTTATTAAGACTTTATTGCGCTGTGTATGCTTTCCGTTTTCATCTATTGTTTAAATAAATTACGAGTTTGTGCCAAGTGCAAGGCATCGAACCCTTAAGCTTTTCAAAACGCATACAATTCGCGTTGTAGTTTATGTTTTTATTATTGTTTATAATTTATGCAGTGATGTGGCTTATTAGCCCAGTCTGTTGCCTTGTTTGTTGTTGTTGTTGCTGTTGCTGTTTCTGTTGTTGTTGCTGTTGTTGTGGTTGTGGTTGCAAGCAGGCAAGCAGAGCCCGCTTTATTCATTCAATTTGCTGGCACGTTTTGCATTACACGCGACAACCCTGACCTACAAAATACATAAATAAATAAATAAAAAAAAAACGCGGCTGCCTTTGCTCCAAGTTGTTGTTATTATCATTGTTGTTGCAGCTACTTTGCATTGAGAACGATTTGTGTTGGGCACCGGCGCTTAGCCGCGTGAGCATTGAATTTCATAAATAAATTAACGGGTTAATGCATTTAACACTCGTGTAGGCGTCGCCCGACCAATCAAATTGAAATCCAACATTTGCAAGCTTAAACAAGCGCTAAATCTGCATCTTATATTTCATAGTTCAACATAATAGAAAATAGCACGAGCTAGAAGGAATATCCCGAACTCAGGCTAGGCTGCCTTTGGCAAGGCTTGCTGTAGGCGGATTGAAGTCCAGTCTTTGGGATAGTTTTCAGTTTGGTCAATCTTTGCAAACACTTTACTGCTCCTCCGATCAATCAATTGCCAGACGGTAAATCATTTCAAGCCCTCAGATATTGATGTTGACAAGCAATAACATTTTTTTGGATGAGTATCTAAATATACGCTCATATAATAATTATAATATGACAAAAGAAACACGACAACTCTGTTCTCTTAGGATTTCTGTACCAGTCCTTTCGCTTATATCAGATTTTTTTCCATTTTTTATTGATTAAGCAGAAACCTTCAATAAATAATTTACACTCCGATTGCAATGCCTAGGTACAAAAAGAACAAGTTATCGGGAATTCCTGACTAGGGGATACCCTCAGCCCTCTTCTAATAATAGAAAAACAAAAAAAAAAAAAAATACTTAATATATAAATACTATTCAAGAAACTACATATCAAGTTTGGTGACTCTTGCTCTTACAGCTTACAAGATTTGCTAAGGAAACGGGGTTTCGATATCGATTTTTAGCGATTGCTTGGAAATAGGAACCATCGAAAACAAACTCATACTGCGCGGTTCTTATAGGTTCTGAGATCCTTGCGTTCATACATACGAACAGACGGAGGAACAGACAGTCAGACATGCCTAGATCGACTCGGCTGTTTACGCTGATCAAGAATATATATACTTTTCCTTCTGCCTGTAATATTCATTTGCACAAATACATTATGCCCATTCTATACTTTTTAATGGGTTCAGGGTACAAAAAGCAAAACGCTTCATCAGTTCTATAATAGGAAACTGGTATTTAAAAGATTAGTGAAAATTGTTCAGCGCAATATATCAAAATACTCATGACAACAAAGCACACATATAGACGAAATTCAGTCATGATTAACTTCGGTATTTACAGTCCGATCTTTATTTGTGTGAGTGTATACACCAAAACGCAAGGTACTATTACCATAAGTTTTTGATAAAGATATTCAGGCGGATATGCCCCTTAATCGATTTTTATCGATATTGTAAGATCGAACAAAAATTTTATAGTTTTTGACATCGACGATAACTCAGGCAAGCAGTCAAAAATAAATATATTATACGGGGTCAAAGATGCTTCTTGTGCTTTGTGTTATTTGTGTGCCCTGCTCAGGAGGTACTTAGTAGTGGAGTGGCTAATTGGCAATCGTGTCACCTGATTTTCTGCTCTCTACAATGTATTATGAGCGAGAAGGAGGTTGAGATTTCAAAGAAAATCTGCAGGCGAGAATGTCTCGCAGATATTGAAAAAGTGTTATGTTGCTCGATCTGGCTTTAGGAATCTTGCCTTATAGCTGTTAATTACTTCAATGGACTGTTAAGTAACTAATAATAACAATAGGCTTTGATTAGCACAAAAAGGTTTTTAAAAGCTTAATTTTGCTGTGTTATTTGTGCTAAGAGTTCAATAACTTCATAATGTATGTGAACTTTATGCCTATAAGCCCGTTTGTTAGGGTTTAGTTAAAAGATATTTAGAAAATTCAAACAAATTGTCATGAATTTAATTTATTATCAAACGTTTTCGCAATTCATTTATGATTAATAAAGTGTAAAGTAAAAACGACAACGCTTGACAGGTGGTTTTTTGCATAATTTGAACTTTATTTGCATGTTAATATCAGCGATTCAATTGGCTTTCATTGTTTACATTGTTCAGCTTAATTGCAGCTCTAATTGGCCATAATGGCACGCGGCTAAGTCCAATGTGGCGACCTTAGACCGGCTAAATGAAGGCGAAGTGAAAATAGAAGAGAGCAGATAAAAAGCGAGCTGAAAGCGGATGTCAATACACATTCGCCAACAAAAAGATACAAATATATCTTAACAGCAATATGAGCGTTTTTTACGTTAATTTTATATATAGTTAAACGTTTTTTTTTTGTGTTGCCCTTTTCGTCTCTTGGCCTTTACCTTTTTCACGCACTACTTTCTCATACTTTTGGGTCACATTTACATTTACAAAATGTTGCAACGCTCGCGACACTTTCTCTTTTTGGGTTTTTACTTAACATAAATCGCATCAAAACAAAGGCATGGCTAAAAAATATAAATAAAATCGTATTCCCAAAATAAACAAGCGCTTTAATTGCATTTGGCTGGCATAAATTAGCGCCAGTTGGCCGTCATTTCAATCAAATTTAGCGTCTCTCAATGGAAAATTTGTTACCCCAAAGGTAGACATAGAAATTCACCACGGCTTAAGACAAACAAAAAAAAAAAACATGAAAGGAGAGAGAAAGATTCTCTGCCCTGTTGTTAAGTACTTTTGGCTTTGCATCACAACAGTTTTGGCGTTTAGTTGCTGTTGCTTGTTTTCACAGTTGTTGCTGCTTCTGCTGTTTGCTACAACAGCAAGAACAATAGCATAACATACAGCAACACTGACAGCTCAAAGCAGCTGCGCCGCGCAGCATTTTCAGAGCAGCGAGAGCACTTATTTTTAGCAGCAGCAGCGAGAGCAACACAACGAGAGCGCTCTTCAAAACCACAGAGGCGGCGATAACGATACAGAGAGAAAAAGAGTGAGAGCGAGAGCGTGCGCGCAAAGTGCACGTATGCAGGCCGCAGATGCTGAGCAAATGAAATGAAATGCTAATTACAATAGGTAAGGGGATTTTTTTTTTTTGTAATGCTCACCTGGTCGATCCAATGACTGTCTGCGACTCATTGGCAAAAATTTTTGAGCCTTGTTTAATGCTTCGGGACAGACAATTGATGTTTAAAATTGAACTGAAAATTGTATTGCTTCATTTGTGTTGCTGCTCGTTGTTTTCTTCTTCTTCTTCCTCTTCTTCTTGTACTTTGATGTTGCTATTGCTTTTAACTTTCTTTGCTTATGCTGCTGCTTATTCAATTCTATACACTAAAAACACATACGCACACACACAGACACAGACAAATACACATTTTACTGCATAGATTGCATTGACTGTTGACCATACTTTCTTTTCACATAGAATTTGCGCGCAACGAGACACGCGGGCTAAATTGATGTAAATAAATATATATATATATATATGTTTAACTTGGTTTCATTTATGTACATATGTACGCAGTTTGACGCTGGGGCGCCAGCGGCATAAGCACTCGCAATTTGGTATGTGGTGTTTTGATTGTTGTTGTTCTTGTTGCTGTTGACTTTTGTTATGTATTTTATTTATTTGAAAACAACTCGCAACACCCGCATACACTAGCGCATATAAACACATATATTCATATATATACACACACACACACACACACACACTCACACTCGCGCGTCACGTCAATGAACGCAGCAGCTCGTTGTTGTTGGCTTTGATGTCGTCGTCGTCGTCGTCGCCGTAGTAATCACGAAATAACGCTTTTTACGCATATTTCTCAATGAATTTAAGCACTTGTCACTGCATGCGCATCTAATAGATGTTTATTTACACTTGTGCAATATTTTTGTAAATTTAAAACACCGATATTTTGCGTTTATTTTTTTCAATTTTATTTGTTACGCACGCACGAGCGTTTACACGAGCCATATGACGAGACCCGCCGACGAACAAAGGGAAAATGCTGAATGTGAAAAATGTCAAACATTTGAGAGCGAGCAGACTTAAAGTCGGCGACGTGTGAGTCGCATACGAGTAGGCGGGATGGCTGATGTTCTTGCTTTGCTGCGAACTACTGTCGTCTCACTCGCGCGCCCTTTTTTGTGGTAGAGAAGAAAAAAACCAAAACGAAACGAGAGATTTACGAAATTCACAAAACATGCTACCAATATTTTGTTGCTTATATAGAGTTTTTATGCCGCTGAGAGTCTTCATTGCTCTTTGCTATTAGCAATTGCAGGCTTTCTTAAATTTTGTCTTAAAACTTTTTTTGACATTCTCGTTGCAATAATTTCCCGCACTTTTCCACACTCACAGTGCAGCACTTGGCACTTAAAATACACTTTTTATCTGTGTGTGCGTGCAAGCATTTTGCAGCTGCTCCATCTGACATTCACCGTGTGACGTTGCCAGACTGGCGACATATTGCCATTCTGCAACTGGTCTTTTCGATAAATAATTTATTGCACTGTCACAATTAAAAAAATCACTCGATAAATGCAGATTATCTGGCGTCAAAAGTCGCGTACAAAATGTAGCTCTCAGTTTTTATTGACAAGAAAAGCAAAAAAAGCATGAAAAACTTACATTTAAACAAATAATCGAGTATGTTCAATAACAGCTGTACGCTGTTATGGTCATGTTATAGCTCCTGCTATCAACTGTTATCGCACTCTCACAACAACAAATCGGTTGAAAATTACTATCGGCCGCATATAGGCGGAGAATTAGCGTTTCTTTTGATCACAATATTTTTTTTTTGATTTGGTTCCATAATTAAGCGAGAAGGTGAAGTTGAGCGTAGCCAAGAACAAAGGGACTGCGACCAAAACACCATGCTGCGGGCGACAGGCAAACGGGACAGGGACATATTCGACGAGGTATGGCCAGAAAAAAGAAAAATTGTTCTCAAGCTGCTGCGCCAGGAGACGGTATCGCAGCTCGAATGGCAGGATCTCTTCTTTGGCGTGCACTTCGTGTGCCTGTGGGACGAGAAGGGAGCCTCCAAAATCTATGACGGCCTCCAGCAGGACATTGTCGAATTCATTGTGCAGGCTCAGTCCAAGGTGCAGGCGCAACGGGGCGAACAGGCGCTATTGGCCACCTACATTGTGGAATGGCGTAAATTCTTCACACAGTCCAATTACCTGCCGCTGCCATTTCGTCAGTTGGAACAGTCGCCACAGGTAAAACCCGCGTCCAGTTCCAGCTCCACATCGTCATCAACCTCCGCTGGCGGCGGCGCATCCACCTCGAATGCCGCTGCCTCCAGCAGCAATCAAGCATCCTTAAGCAGTTCCTCCGCAAAGGCCTCAACATCGGCAGCGGCGTCTAATGCTGCTTCCACTAGCGTTGGCGCCGCTAGCAATTCCGCCTCAGCTGCTGCCTCAAGCTCCAAGAAGAGTCCCACCGAGGACAGTCCGGTTCGCAAGCTAATGCTCGATTCGTGGAACAAGCATATTTTTCACGACATCAAGGATCGCCTGCAAGAGTCAGCCATGAAGATTGTCCATGCCGAACGCAATGGCGACGCCTACGATGCCCAACTGGTGGTCGGTGTGCGTGAAAGTTATGTTAATCTGTCCTCAAATGCAGAGGACAAGTTGGAAATCTATCGGGAGTATTTTGAGAAGGCCTATTTGAAGGCCACCGCGGACTTCTATCGGCTTAAGTCCGCCGAGCAGCAGCAAGAGAATGGCGTGCTGGCCTACATGAAATACGCGGACGCCAAGCTGCGCGAGGAGGAGGTGCGCGCCAAGCGTTACCTGGAACCTAGCAGCTTTAACATACTAACATGCCGTCTGGTCAAGGTGCTAATTGTGGATCACCTCAATTCGATCATAGCCGAGTGCCCGGCGCTGATACGTGATTACGAGACGGACCGTTTAAATCTAATGTTTCGTCTGATGGATCGCGTGCTGGACGGGGAGGGCGTCGAGGCAATGATGGGCGATCTGCAGCGGCATATCAAGTCCGCCGGCCTAGCTGACATGCAGTCCGCCTCGGAGATCATTACTCAGGACTCGGAAAAGTACGTGGAACGACTGTTGGAGCTCTTCAATAAGTTTAGCGATCTGGTGCGCAATGCGTTCAACGATGATCCGCGTTTTCTCACTGCCCGCGACATTGCCTTCAAGATGGTGGTCAACGACACCAGTGTGTTCAAAATGGAGCTGCCCACAAGCATTGCCAATCGCGGCGTCAAATACACAGCGCCGGAAAGCAAATGCCCTGAGCTGCTGGCCAACTACTGTGACATGCTGCTCAGGCGCACGCCTCTGAGCAAGCGCCTCACCAGCGAGCAAATCGATGCACGTCTGAGGGATGTGCTGCTCGTCTTAAAGTATGTGAACAACAAGGATGTCTTTATGCGCTACCACAAGGTGCACTTGACGAGACGGTAAGTGCTAAAAAAAATACCTTTGTAGCACTGCAGCCAAGGCAAGATTAGAGCAGAAATTTCACATTTTTTAAGTCATCTTTATAACAACTTGTCACAGTCCTGTGCTTTTCCTACAGGCAGATCAGACTTATATATATATACAAATATTTAAATACATGTACAGACTTGATATATGATATATATATAATATGCTGACATAGAACGATCTGTTGAACTTTAAGTTATCTTATGACAATAGCTCCTAATCAAACCCAAATTAAATATTCTTTCTCGAAAATCAAATACAGTCAGATAGGACAGAGTTTTAAAAAAACATCTATGTATGCTATTCCCTATGAGGGGTGTGGACTTGTCAAGAATTACAACTAATTTTACGTGTATTTTTTGGTTTGTAGTTTAATCCTTGGCACAAGTGCCGATAGTGAAAAGGAGGAGGACATTGTTGAATGGTTGCGCGAGGTGGGCATGCCCGCTGACTATGTCAACAGGCTGGCACGCATGTTCCAGGACATTAAGGTAAGCTTCAACCAATATACAATACGTCCAGCTTTTTAATTACAAATACCTATTCCATGTGTCCGCAACAAAAACAGGTGAGCGAGGATTTAAATACTCAATTCCGTAACTCTATAAGCCGGCATGATGCCATCAATATAAAAATACTCAATGCTGGCGCCTGGGCGCGCTGTTCGGAGCGTGTCTCAGTTTCGCTGCCCATCGAACTAGAGGACTATATACCCGATGTTGAGGAGTTTTACAAGAAAAAGCATTCCGGCCGTAAGCTGCAATGGTATCATCACATGAGCAATGGCACCATCACATTCGTTAACAATTTCGGTCGCTACGATCTCGATGTGACCACATTTCAAATGGCTGTGCTCTTTGCCTGGAATCAGCGACAGCACGACAAGATCTCCTATGAGAATCTACGTCTGGCCACCGAGCTGCCCGGTTAGTAAAGAATTGCAACTATACTGCGGAAATCGATTTTAACTTCATTATTTGATTTTTCAACAGATCCCGAACTGCGACGCACTTTATGGTCGCTGGTCGCCTTTCCCAAGATCAAAAAACAAATCTTACTCATGGAGCCAGCAGCCATTAGTTCGCCCAAAGATTTTGCCGAGAACACCATGTTCTATATCAATCAGGAGTTTGCCATTGTCAAGAATGGCAAATCTCAACGGCGCGGCAAGGTATGTTATATATGTCGAAACCATCTGCTCTAGATGTTACTAAAGCATCAATGTTTACGTTCGCAGTTAAATCTAATTGGACGGCTGCAATTGAGCACGGAGCGTTCGCAGCAGGAGGATAATCAGTCTATTGTGCAGCTGCGCATATTGCGCACCCAGGAGGCAATAATTAAGATTATGAAGGTGCGCAAACGCATGAACAATGCGGCGCTGCAGGTATGTTAAGAATTATACGGAAATAATTTGCTCAACTTAATTATTTAACTGTCTCTGCTTACAGGCGGAGCTGATTGACATACTGAAGAATATGTTCCTGCCATCTAAGAAGATGATTAAGGAGCAGCTTGAATGGCTCATTGAGCACAAGTATATGAGACGCGACGACGATGACATCAACATGTTTATTTATGTGGCCTAACTGTGATGGCCTTTGCGTCCTTGCCGAGTTACCATTCCCACTCCTGACCTACAACCTAGCCACAGTCAGCCTCCAATCCTTACACTAATGATCATCATTTCTCAATTGGTTGCGTGCTCTAAGCGCGCGCTCTCTCTCCCTCTCTCTCTCTCTTATACATATATATATCTCAGTCACCCATTTTTATGGGATCCTAGTTTGTTATGTTGACATTACGTCCTGGGCAGCGTTTTCAAAATTGAAAAAATTGCTTTTCTCCTATTTGTATGTTTTTTGTTTTGTGTAAAAGCGTAATTATTTTTTTTATATTCGCCTATTGGCAGCTCTGTTTAACGTCATAGGTATTATATATACTGCATGTAGCCGCCCTCAGATAACGATTACAATTAACACTAATCTATAGAGCAGAAAAAAAACCTTTTGATGTTTTCTACGTTTGTATGTAGTCATTGTATATGTTGTGCATTTTGAGTTATTGCTTAGGTAATTTTGTAAAGTCTCCTTACGTGTGGCAAACACTCACAATCACACACGCCCCGCAACCGTACACACATCCATTGGCATGTAGGGTTTGACTTTAGAACAAGTTGAATCCCTGCAAAGACACCGAAACATACGAAAGCAAAACTAAAACTAGAATAGCAATATTATATGTTTAAGTTAATGAAATTATAAAGCATATAAATTGTATTTTAAATAAATTAAGTATAAATACGAGACACCGATATCTTGGATGTGAATAAAACATATGGCAGATGTACGAGATACAATTCGGATGTACGACATAATTTTCGCCTGTTTTTCTTCTAATAGCTAATTTACATAGATATTGAAAACAAAATTTTACTTGGGGTAGTTAGCTTTATTTTAAAAGTATAGAACAAATTATAGTAGCAATCGTTTCTTTCTATATATGACGCCACAATCATTTCTAGGTATTTTTAAAAGCAAACTTTTCATATGAGTTTTTATGTTCATCATTTTCTCAATATTCCGCCGATAGGAAGCCAAAATATTTACTGCCTGCAGCAACATTACGGATATTTGCCAATTAGGATTAAGATAACCCTAAAATCTATAAAGGCAAAAATTAAGAATAGATAGTCTAAAGGGGTCAATTCTAATACCCTTTAAAAATATTGATAAATAAATATCGTCATTTTAATGATTAACCCAAAATTCAAATTTTTAATATTTTTACCTGCGAAATTTCTAAGGTCTAGCAGATGGATAATTGGTGGCCTCCCTCCAAAATGCCATACTTTAAATATGCACACTAAAATAAAATCCCATTTCTTATAAGGTCTTAGAACTGGTGATCCTAAAAGGATCACAGTTGTACGATAACATTTACAGATCTTTTCCAGCCGTGTCAGCCGTGTTAATGCA